CGTGGGAGGGGGGAGCTGCCCGGCTCCAGCCGCCCTGCCAGCCGTCCGGCGTCCCCTCCGACGGAGGTGAAGGTGCCCGAAAGGATTTGCAGGCACGCTCTCTTCCTTCTTGTTTTAGCGATGTGGAGATTCAGTATATAAATAGATTTTTCTTTCTTAGGGAGTGTTTTTTAATTTCTTCGGGGAAAAAAAAACCTTGAAATTGTTCCATGCACGTAAGTTGAAATCGGATATCTGAAGTCCATTACCCCTTACAGATCATTTCAGTTTCTGAGTGGATGAAACGCGATGCCAGTGATCCTCCAGCCGCCTTTTTCTGAAAATGACTTTTTTCCCACAGCTGTTGACAGGCAAATACCGCGATACCCAGACTTCGATAACCGACAGCTCCGCAGTTTACAGAGTCAGCAACGACAAGGTGAGCGGGCAGGTTTTCAGCTGTAAATTGTGCGTGGTTGCTGCAGCCAGCTGGTGCCTTTGTTTTTCTGCTCCCTGTGCTAAACCTGGCTTGTTGCTTTTTGTGCTGCTCAGTGTTCCCAGCTTGAAATCAGTCCCCAGTTTGGTCCGAGTGTAGGATAGGATTTTTTTAGGCAACGCACACTGAGAAAGTAGGAAAATACTGGGACGTATTAGGGACTTCTCATCTCCGCAGGTTCTTTTTTCTTTGCTTGGTCGAATTGTGAAACCTTTTTGACTGAAAACCACCTCTGTGTGTTGCGTTTTGAAAGGCGGGTAGCGTGTGGTATTTTTTCTGTAGAAGAAGAAAAGGAGCTGCTTTTACAAGCGGAGTAAAGCACACAGCACTGTGGGGACAGCTGTGTGTTTCGGAGCAAGAGGGAGATTTGTGAGGGAACATTGTTCTGTCATGTTTGATTTATTGGCTGGGCAATAATTTCTGTGTCTCCCAAGAAAATCTGAATTTAAAAGCTGTGGCAGCTTAAAAAAGAGTCTCCAGCTGAACTTCATATGGTCTCAGAAAGGGTTTTGTTTATTTTCCGGTCCTGGGCTGCCACAGACCTAGTTATTTTCAGTTTATGGTGATGTCTCTCATTTCGGAAGAGTTTCTTTCTCTTGCTGGGTGCACATGTGGCAATGAAAGCAGCAAGCTGGCAGCACATTACGTGCTGGTGAGTTGTAAAAGTAGAGGATGTTATTGTGGCTTTTCTATGGCAATCTTCAGTAACAGTGGTGATACTAACACATTAAAAACTTAGTAAATGGAAGTGTAGGGCTTTTTTTTAACATTTGTCTCTAAGATTGAGTAAACAGGAGGTATTTGGAGGGGGAGAGGTGCTGGAATGCTGCAGTGTGTACTGTTGCTTTTCTTTTTTTAAATTGTAGACAAGGTTTCCATTAAAATCCAAGAGCATAGAGTAGGTAGGGTCTTGTGCAATGTAGTTCTCTCCCCTCTTGAGAACAGTGAGCATTATCTTGAGAACGGTGACGTGGCCCTACTTGGCCACATCTCGATCAGGAGCGCGTGAGAGGCATTCGTTCTTTTCAGTGTCACTGCTTTCTCTGGCAGGCAACCTGTGGAAAGGGAAATGTTTGTAGCTTTCAGTTAAAAAAGTCTCTTCCAAGGGCATTTTTGTGTTATTCCCAGCAAAGTGATGTGTATTTAGGTAGACTTGCAGTTGGGTAGATTCTGTGCGGGAACAGATATCTTGATTCAGAGACTGGGATTAGTGTTCTGTGTCAGGGATTTGCGGGACAGGAGTTCGTGGTTTTGCTGTGCAGAGACCTACTTGCTGTCAGGGACAGTGTGAATCTGCTGGTGTACGAGAGAGGTGACTGATGAAGCTTTCTCACTCCCACGGTGCGTGTGGTAGCTGTAGGGGGGGTACTGTGGATGAGAAATGGGTTGAACGTTGTCTTTTCTCTGCGGTCATGCTCTATCCTCTCAGCTCTGGTGGGTAGTGTGCTGGTGCTGGTGCCCCCCCCCCCTACTGAGTCCTGGCCATGAATGTCATTTGTCAGCATTTCTTTGCTTGTCAGAATTGTTTGGGCTGGTGGAGAGACTGCACCTCGGGGAGAGTTACTGCCCAGTGTGGGGATTCACTCGCCCACTGCTGCCTCAACACCAGGCTAACTGGAATCCACTATCAGACTGGTTTTCCCCGGTCCGTGATCACAGGTACCCCCAGATTAGGTGTTGCTGATACCTTCTCGCTTCTGTTCCCAGAGCAGCAACGTGACCTTAATCGACCTTCCGGGCCATGAGAGTTTGCGGCTTCAGTTCTTGGAGAGGTTCAAGGCCGCAGCCAGGTAACTTGGAGGAGATTGGCAGGGGAGGAGGGGGCAGGTGATGTTTCGGACGGGGGTGAACCAAATGATGGTGCTGAGGATGCTCTGAGCTGGGCTGGGTTCACTCTGAGGTGGTGCCCTGAGAGTCAGAGCTCTGCCATGGGGTAGCGGGCGTTAGTTGTTGTTCTGCTTTCCCGCCTGCATGTGTCTGTAGTGCATCAGGAGGCAAAGCAACTGCAGCGGGGAGGTTTAGGGGATGTGGTATATCCATGGGACAGAGAGGGAAGGATTTCCTGCTGGGGCTGAAGGTGGGGTGTATTTCAGCCAGCACATGCTAACCTGCTCTTGGGTTGGATGAGATCAGTTGTGGAAACAAATGTGTTAGGCCAGGCTGGAATACTTGTCGGCGAAGATCGTTGCAGAGCGTCAGGCCCGGCCCATGTTCTTCCCTCTTTCCTCCAGAGCCATCGTGTTTGTGGTGGACAGTGTGGCCTTCCAGCGGGAGGTGAAGGATGTGGCGGAGTTCCTGTACCAGGTCCTGGTCGATAGCATTGTGCTCAAAAACACACCCGCACTGCTGATCGCTTGCAATAAGCAAGGTATTGTGTGCTGCCTTGCGGATTCAGTCCTTGAGTGATAGGGGTTCATGCCACGGATGCTGAGTTTCTTACAAGTTGGGATTTCAGCAAAATGAAGGCTGGAACTTAGTTTTAAATTTGGACTACTCAGCAGGAAAAAAAACGTTAGAAGAATTCTTAGGTCAGGTATGTCTAATAGCTTTGCAGAGAAGCACCACTTGGGAGAGCTACAGCTTTTTAGTCCGGCTTAAATAAGGCAGATGGCTTTCTGCTTGTGCAGAACTGTCTTCCTGAATCAGCAGGCAACAGAAAATAGGATCAACTTAAGCATAATGAACTATCTCTACACACTTGGTAACTTCAATGTTAAAATCAGACAGCCGTTTAGCTGCCAAGATTATATGTTTTCTCTTGATTGGACGAGCAGGAACATCCAGTTACTGGAAAGGACTGGATTTTCAGATCCCTACAACTTTTACAGTGAAGGTGTGGATCCCTGTGTAACAGTCTGAAGCTTTTGGGCAATATCAGATTTGGTTTTCTTAGTTATTTCGTGCAGTACGTCAGGAGCTGCCTGAGGCCTTCGTGGCTCCACGTGCCATAGGTTAAAAAGCGCTATGTTGAGCTCTGGAGTGCCAGGACAGGTTGAGAGTGGAACGTCAAACCCCGTCCTCTGTTTGAAGCAACTTACTGCCCAGCAAGAAGAAGTTAATTCCCTACATTATGTCAGACTTTGGGTTGCTCCCATTCATGCCTGCAAACCCAAAGCTCCAGCGTCCTTACCCTAGTGCAGACACAGCCGTCTTTGTCCTGGTGACTCTGATGACTGCACAGTGTGAGCAGGCTTTACTGTACCTTTAGGAGGAGGAACCAGGTTCTGAATTCTGACATAAAACCAAAGAGCTGATTTCCTTTTCTTTTCTCTTTCTAGATGTCACAATGGCAAAATCAGCAAAACTTATTCAACAGCAGCTGGAGAAAGAGCTGTAAGTATGAAATTGGATCTTAAACCCGCTGAGCTTCTCTCTTCTCCTTTCTATCTCTTACCTCAGTGCTCAGTGAGCTCCCTTGAGCCACATCTAAGCTCATTGTAGAAAAAGAGCAGTCTGTTTTGTCTGTGTAGGTGTAACTAGGGTGAGAGAAGATTGCTCCTTGCTAAAGCACGCAAAAAAGCAGTAGGCACAGGCAGCGTATTGCCTCCTAGAAGCTGTGGGTTGGAGAGACGACATCCCGATCCTTTCCTAAAAGCTGCTATTCTTAGGCTAAGCGATACCTCCCATGGCCCAGGGAGGTATCTGGGTCCTCTCTCAGGTACAGGCAGGGTTGGCTCCCAAATGTCAGACTTCCTGTGCGTGGTGTGAAGATGTCAGTAGCTCTGCTCGGTTGTACTGGCACAGGTTTTTTTGCAGGGCTGCTCTGACGCAAAAGGGCTTGGCATGCAAAGCTTGAGAGCTGGGGAGAGAGTGTCTCGTTTTCCTGGTCTGCTAACAGGCATTGCAGGAGCCTGTTTGGGACCCCATGTTGGCCCTAGGAAGGACATTAACCTGGGAAAACAAATGATGTATGATCTGTTGCTAATTTTAAGTTGTAAGAGAAAGTGGAAGGAGGAGAAAGTGGCTTGTAGACTGTGCTACGTTGTAAGCTGCCAGCTGAATGAGCTGCAGCATCAATGGCTGGTAAGTCCATCTGGGGAGGGGGCAAGTAGAAGATGATTTTTTTTAAGCTCTATTTAGTCTCTGTGCCTGAAGGTTCTGCCTGTGAGTCCCATAATTGTAGTTAGGTCAAATCTGCTCTGGGAGAGATCTGTGCAGCTCTTGTGGACTTCTCCACCAGCATCTAGTAGAGATTTTGCTTCCCCACACACACTCAACTGGATGTTTTGCCTTCCTGTTGCCTGTGGGTCCTGTTTGCTGGTTTGCAGTTAGCGGCAAGGCGGTTGGGGGTAGGAGGAGGAGTGTAGCTCTTTGGTCTCCAAACAAATGCATGTTTGTGGGATATGGCCATCTTGTTGCCAACTGGTGGACTTGGCAGTGTTAGGTTAATGGTTGGACACGCTGGTCTTAAGGGTCTTTTCCAACCTGAATGATTCTGTGATTCTGTAATCTCTTTGGCCAGTAGACGGCAGCAGGGGTATTATTGCTGGTGCCTCTTCCAGGCTGAGTACCTGACCTTCCCGTTTTTAAGGGAGGAATTAGTTGCCACATATTCAAGCTCTCCAGGAAAATAAGCATTCCTTGGTTCTGATGTTGGGCGTTTGGCAGTTATCCGTGTGTAGAAGTTGTATTTCTAGGTAGGTTATATGTGCCCTGTTAGGAAGTGTTATTCCCGCAGGCTGGCAGATTGCTGCCATCCTCTCCCTGCGCTGCCGTGCTTGGATGTCCTTGTGTGGAGAGCCCAAGGAAGTGTCTGCTCTCTTATTCCTGAACTCAGATCTCTGGGCATTGATGTTCTTTCCCTGTGCCCCATTAATTTAGCTCCATTCTGTGAATAAGGAGTAGCTGGGCTTGACTGAGAGCAGGCACTGCCAGGCTGCTCTGTCTCTGGAAGAGATGCAGCAGTCCAGCCATGAGGCTCTACTAGGCAGTCAGAGACCTGGGGAGAGTGCTGTTTGCCCCTGTGCCTGGTGCAGCCCCTTGACTTCCCTCGCCTTGCTTTTTGGGACCTCAGAGGCAGTCAAATCGCAGTGCCTCGGAGTCTGTTGGGCTGTTCCATCTCCCTGTGCTGCCTGTGCCTTGGACGCCAGGTGAGTGTGGACAAGGAGGTCCATCCTTCCTCTCCACACGTGGCCGGCAGCTGAGGTGCAGCGAGCTGAAGGGCAGGAGCAGTAGTGACGTTGCAGCCCGGTCCTTGGGCAGGCAGTGCTCACGGGAGCAGTGGGGAGACTCGATCTCCCTCTCAGTCCCCAACGGTATTTGGCACACTCAGGTGGCAGAAGGGTGAGCCTCTGCACGATCCCTGATACCGCGGGTGCCTCTCTCTTCTCAGTTAACTCGTTAAACCAGTGCAGATCCTGAACGCTGTGGGCTAAACCATATGTAATGCCTGGTGACTGGTGTCCGCTATGGGGATATTGGGGAAATTCAGATGAGGACATCATCTCCTGACTCTTGCTGTTGCTTATTACAGAACAAAACCTGTTTAAGCACCCTCTCCTTGGGTGGCCTCCTGTCTTCTCGCACTTTTGAGCCCCTCTGCAGTTGTACCTTCCAGCGGGTATTTAAGAGAAGTGGCCAAAGTGCCTGCCCCTGCCTGCGCAGAGCCATGGCACCTTCTACCCTTGGTGTAGTTGGCATCCTGCTGACAGAGCTGGGTCCAAAACATCTCAGCAGCCATGATGTAGGTAACGTTCCCCTGGTTCACAGTTTTTGACTCTTCCCCTTCTCTGTCCACAGCAACACCTTACGAGTGACCCGCTCTGCGGCCCCCACCAGTCTGGATGGCTCAGCCACTGGGGGCCCTGCCCAGCTGGGCAAGAAGGGCAAGGACTTCGACTTCTCCCAGCTACCCATGAAGGTGGAATTCGTGGAGTGCAGCGCTCGGGGCAGCAAGGGAGAGGAAGGAGATGCTGACTTCGAGGGCCTCGAGAAATGGCTGGCCAAGGTTGCCTGAACAGAAAAGGGAGGGGCTGGAGGGAGAAACCTGGGGAGGCTGGGGGGTGGAACACTTGGAGACTGAAAGGAAAAAGATGGTCTGAAGCACTCAAATCTCATCTTGCTGTAGGAGACTTCAGCTGGAAACCAGCATTGTGGTGTCTTCCTCTGCTGCTCATGGGCTTGGGAGCAACATGACACAACTGCTGGTGTGATTTTCTCTGACTGTCTCTTCACACTGCAACATTTTTTTTCCTCTCCCCTCTTCCTTTGTCTTCCTCTGGGATGCTGACCCTTTGGAATTCTTTGTTTCCTTAATCGTTAGGCTTTTCATTTGGTAGTTGCCAAGAAAATTAGGAAGGAGCGAACTTCCAGGTGAGTTTGATATTGATGTCTGCGTGTTGTCTTCTGCCTTGGTTTAGCATTGCAACCCTGTTACCTCGGAGCTGCTGATCACCTCCTGGTTCTGACTTCTTTCCACAGCCTCTCGGTGCTTGGGAGCGCTGTGCACATCATTTGTGCTGCCCCGGCAAAGTGCGCAGACTCTCTTTGTTGGGCAGTCATTGAGGAGGGTATAAAAAGCTGTTTACCTCCGTGTCTCCTACCTTCCCGTTCTTCCAAACCGGTGCAGTCCCGTTTCTGTGGAACTGGAGTGGTCTATTAAATGCCAAAACCAGGCTGATCTGACTCTGTCACAGGCACTGCCTGTGTCCTTTGCTGTGTCTTTGGGTGATTTCCACTGTTGGACATTTCTTGGGAGCTTTTCCTTTAATGCAGGGCTATGTCCTGAAGGCTTGTTTCCCTCTGCTTCTCCTTCCCATACTTCATGCTCTTCTCCCACAGACATGTATGCACACTCTCCAAGTGGCAGAGTTACAGTAGGGTCTTAGCTTGAAACTATGAGGCAGGCACGTTTTTAGATTCGTACCTACATTATGCATGAGATCTGGCATGACAGGCGTTTGCTGTGCAGTCCCCTGCCTGTCTCCTGTGTGATCTCAACTGTTAATCTTGCAGGGAAGATTCAGGGAATGCCTGTCGCTGTAGCTGTCCCAGGGGCTCGGCAGGCTGCTCGGAGGCTTGGAGTGTTGGAGGTCTCTGATGTAGCATGCTTCTGAACTTTTCGAAGGACATTGCTCTCCTCCTTCCCATGCTCTGGCCAGGAGCATCGGTTAGCCAAAGGGAGATCTTCCAGCAGCATTGGTGTTGGTCGGGTGGGAGACAAGACCCTGGTGCTGTGCTGGGTGTTCAGCTTCCCCTTTCTGAACAGCCTTAAAACACAGTTGCCCTGCCCAGCAACTTCGTGCAACTTCGTGCTCTGATGGGGTGCCATTTCTGTGCGGCACCTATGTGAGGATGATTGCTCTCCTTGCAAATTGCGAGGTCCTACCGCATTGAAATTTTTTCTTTGTTTTTGTTGTTTCCCCTTTTGTTTTGGGGTAGGAGGGAGTGGCTGGCTCCTGGTAGTCTTTTGCAGGCTCCTCTCCTCTCTGGTTTGATGCTTCCTTCACCGCTCAACTGATCTGTTGTGTTCTTTCCTTTCTGTCTGGGGCATTCTCTGCTTCCCTGTGGCATTGCCAAGTGTTAGTAGCATCGGGAAGAGCCAGAACAGTCTTCTGCAAAGACCTGGCTCATGATGCATTTCTTGTCTTCTGAACCCAGTGGCTCTTCTACTACCCGTGCAGGAGGTGGGGAGGATTATATTTACGAAGTACATTATATTCTTATATTTCCTGCAGCCAGAGCATTGTTGGAACATGCTTTTCATGCTTTGAACTCCCTTAGCTGGAGCTGCTTCCCACGCCGCCTGCTTTGAATCCATAATGCTGAAGTGAGAATGTTGCTATTTTTTTGGGTGGTCATTCTGCTTGCAAAGACCTGTCTCCTTGAAAAGCAAAGGCCAGGCACCAGCCTCTGTTGGGGTGAGGTAGCATGAGACCATAGTTGGTTTTAAGTTATTCTTATTAAAAGTATTCCCTAAATAAAAATTTTTTGCTTAGATGTTTGTTCTCAAGTCTTGGTTTAGTCTGCCTGTATTCGCCTCTTCTCCGTGGTGTCAAATCCGCACGGACTGGGACTTTGCTTCTGCTCAACACGATGCTGGAGATCAACCTTCCTGCTTGGTGGCCAGGTCTGTGTTGTCAAAAACGAATGCCGCCTCCATGCGCAGGGCTTTGGGGTTTTTTTTTGGGTGCGTATTTACTCCTTAGTCTGGATGTTAAAGACTTGATAATCACATAGCAAAAAAAACCCAAACCGCCAACAAAAAAGGCACTTTGCCCAAATGCACAAGCAAACTCAAGCCAGCTGCAGTGCACTGTGCACTGTTGTGGTTTAAGTCAGAGAGCACTTGCCCCGCTCTGCGGCAGGGGTGGCTACGGCACCCTGCAGCTTTACAGCTGGATGGAGAAACCTCGGCTTTCCCCATCTGAGCCTGGCTGCGGGGCGGCTGCACGGCTGAGCTGGGGCCGGTGCCGGAGGATGGAGCATGCGTTGGGCTGTCGCAGAGCTGCATGTGTTTTTTGGGCTGCACTCCATGACTTGCTTTTAAAATATTTGGGGCTGTTTTTCCCCAGCGGCTGAGGAAAAAGGGCAGAACTGGAAACTCTGAATGTTGTTTTCTTTTTTTTTTTCCCCTCAGTCAGCTTTGTGCTTTGTTTTTTGCTCTTACGTATAAAAACCTTGCTCCCAGCCTGTGGCTTTGTGCTGGCTGGGCAAGTTGCTCCTCAGGCTGCAGCTTGGCAGCCAGTGTGTTGAGATGTCTTTGGCAAGACAGCAGGATGTGATAAACTCAGTCCCTTCTGCTCTGGCTGCCTGACCCAGAGTCAGTCACCCTGCTGTATTTACATGTCTGCAGGGATTGAGGTTTTCACTGTACTTTAAAGCTCTTTTGATCAATGTTTTTTGCTATGGGTTGTGTTTCGCCTGCAAATTGTTCCCCTGGAAAGGAAGGGTGCTTTCGGAGATCGACAAGCACAGTGAGATCCAGGATAGCAGAAGCCACATGGAAGTGGAGGAGAGATTGCTGAAAGGCAAAGAAAAGCAAAAATAACATGATGTCTGAACATTGGCATCCCAGCGTTGGTGGTTTCCAAGGCTCCCAAAATCAGGTGGTGCAGCTGTGACCTGTCCTGTGCGTAGAGCCATTGGCCAGCCCCAGCCACCTTGACACCTTTGGGGCCAGGAGATTCTGTGTTGGCCGTGTTTGGGCCACCTCGTATGCTTTTGCTGGCCGGCACCTCCTGGGGCTTGTCCAGCTTGATGTTACCCCTGATGGGATGAAGGCGGAGAAGGAGTTAAGGAAGGTCATGCGGGTGTTAAGGGAAAACCTGAGAGGTGGAGGGGGAATAGGAACAGTACAGACAGATCTCATGTTCGTAAAGACTTGCTGATCCAGAGCAAATTCAAGGCAGCTCCCTTCCTGTCCTCTTCCCTCCTCTCCTTTCCCTTTACTCCCTCCATGAGCATGGATGCAGCAGGGCCAAGAGCAGAGTGAAAAGAAAAGTCATGCCTCGCCCTGCACAGCGATGGGGTGAGGACAGCAGAATACCCTTACCCAAGGTCCCTCCCCTACTGTCCCTCCCCATCCTTTCAGTCTGTGGTGCTGCCCGGGAGGGGATACAGCCACAAGGTAAAGGAGGAGGAAGGTGTGGTGGCCCTGACCAGCCCACGCTGAGCCCCATCTCGGCTCAGCCCTGGCCCTCAGTCCCCTCCTGAGCTACTCTGTAGGTGTAGCCGTCTCCCGCTCAGCCACGGCCATGTCTGTGCCTGGCCATGGACCCTGCCGATCCTGACCCCCCGACTGACTATCCAGCGCCCTTTGCTGTCTCAGCCCTGGGGATGGTATTGCTGATCCCGACCAGCTGCATCTGCCATGGTCCTCTATGGGTGGCAAATAACGCTTCAGCAGCCGCCTTTCCTACAGGAGCCATGGAAGAGATGGGACCTTTTCACATCTAGTGCATTCGAGTCAAGCCCTTTGCTCTTGGCTCCACCTTTTAGCAGCATCGGCTCGGTGAGACGAGCGGTGTGTCCTTTGCACGGCGCCAGGCTCTTGAGAAGCTCATGAAGCAATTCCTGTGATAGCGGTCAAGGGTGCTCCCATGTCACCCTCTACAGGTGACAGCAGGCAGTCATCATCAACGGGTGGTTCCCCAGATCCCACACTTCTCTTCCCATTCTAGCGGGCTGCCTTCATCCTGCCGGGAAAGGAGAGGTCCCGGGTAGTGCTGCAGGGCAGGTGAAGCTCTGCCAGAGCAGAGCAGGGAGGCCCTGGAGCTGCTGCGTTTCCTTCAGATGTGCCGCAGGCAGGGATACATCCTGCACAACCCTGCCCACAGCCCCTACCCCCAGTCCTCTGCGAGCTGCCTGCAGTCTCCTGCGTACTGCCTGCGGGCCTCTGCCTGCATCCCCACGCCCAAAGCCCACCTCTCTGACATTCCTGCAGACCCCTGCCCACAGACCCTACCTGCAGCTGCTGCACCCTGTCTGTGACCCCCTGCCCAATGCCTGCAGCCCCAAGCATTCTGCCTGCAGAACCCTGCCCACAGCCCCTTGCCTATATAGGCCCCTACCTGCAGCCCCTTCATGCTGCCTGCAGTCCTCTGCCTGCATGCCCATGC